TACTACTACTACTACTACTACTACTACTACTACTACTACTACTACTACTACTACTACATTACTACTGCTACTACTACTGCTTTATTTATAAAGCACTTTAAAACAACCACAGCTGCAACAAAGTGCTGTACATATAAAATCAAAACATGAAAAACACAAAACAAAGATTAAAAATAATAAAAAAATGGTAAAAATAGAAATTAAACTAAAAACAAGTGTGTTTGGCTGTGCCAAAAGATACTAAAAAACTTCTTATGTACAGTCCTTTTATTTAAACGATCATGTCCTGCTGAGTGTTACATGATTTGTTTGTGTACAAACTAATACAGTATCAGAATTTTATTTATATATACTTCTCATTCAACCACAATTGAATTAAATATATCTAGGAGGAACAATTTATATGGATAGTATTAATTTTTTACAATAATAAGCTGGAATGAAAACAAGCAAAAATGAAATAAATGTAACGACTTTCTACTTACGTTTTTTTTTAATGTAAGGAGTAGAAAGTACAGATAATTGTGTGAAAATGTAAGAAGTAGAAGTAAAAAGGCTGAAAAATATTTACTCAAGTAAAGTACARATACCCAAAAATTCTACTTAAGTACAGTAACAAATTATTTGTACTTGGTTACTTTACAACTCTGATTGCCTGGCTGTGAAAAGCAAACAGATAATAATGTTTGATAATCAGAACTGATTACCTTTTATTTATTTTACACATTCGTCTCTCTGGACTCTTGTTTCTGAGTTATTGGTTATTTTTTGTCCCCCTCTTGAAGTCTCTCCGCCCCCCTCGTCCCTCCGCTCTCCGTCTGCTCCCTCTTCTCTTCAAAGCTAGCAGGATGACAGATAACACCACGCTAACCCTTTTTGAACCTGTTGGTGTTATTCCTTCTCACTCCACTCCCTCTCCTCCGGTCTAAATTTTAAAAAAAGAAACTCTGCGCAGTGACTCGCTGGGGCACGCTCGCACAAAGCAGATGCACACACACACACACACACACGTGCGGCCCTCTCTCTGCCGAGGGGCCGTGGCGTGTTTTCGTTCCCCGTGAGCAGATTTTTCCCCTCCATTCTGCCAAACTTAAAAAAAAAAAAAACAACAACTCCCGTCTCCATGGGGACGCGGCAGCAATAACACGGCAAGAGGAGAGGCCGTCCTCTGACAGGAGCAGCTGCTTTCGATTGCAAGAGGCTCCGGTTCTCCCCCGGTTTCTGAGCGTCGGCGCTCTCGCGTGTGCGTCATCGGGGCTCCCCACCTGCCTTCAGTTACTGTTCTCGGCTGCAGGGAGGCGAAACGGCGAGCTCCGCTCCACGTACCAAGAGCTGTGTTTCCTCCTGCAGCGTCTGTCAGATAGTTCATGCTCTATCAGGGTTTTACATCTGTGCTGCTTTAAAGCTGCAGTCTGGGACCTGAGCCGTGTTTTAACCTGTGATTTAAGACAGAGATGTGGTGTCAGTGGAGAGTAGAGATGAGAACTAATTGGTAATGATTCCATCATTTATTTACTGAAATGCAGTTTTTGTTCATTTTCAGGTCGCCATGGGAAAGGAGGGACTTTCCCACGCCAGTTCCAGTTGCCCAATCGCAGCAAGGATTATGGAGATGGTAAGAAAGCAGCTTTAACCGTGACATCATTATTGCACAGATTAAACAGATTATTATTATTAAACCAACTAGTGCAGATTTTTGAACTGAAGATGATTGTTCTTCACTTCTTTTTTTTTGTTTATTCCTTTTTTGTATATATTTGGTACATAGGGTGCAGCTTGTCCTAACAGCTAGCTTAGAGGCTAGCTGCTGGCTAGCTGGAAATGTGCATAAAAACAAAGCATCCCTCTTCCTGTTGGAGGAGAGGTGAGACGTAGTGATGCGAGGCTAAAGCCAGAGTCACTCTCTGCGCAACATCCTAAAAGTAAGAGTGAAAGAGGCTAAAAAAGCACAGAACAACTCCACTTTTAAAGAATGTTTTCCACAAACGTTGAAAGACCTAAACTGAGTTGTTAAATCTAAGAAGCTAAATGCTAGCTAAGCTAAAAAAAAGAAAAGAAAAGAATCTACATATTTGTTGTTAAAAAGGGACAAAAAAAAAACAGAAGACTTATCTTAAAACA